TCAGGAGCTCCACCACATGCTGGGCAGCACTACAGAGGGTCAAAGTCTTACAGAAACTCTTGCTGGCCCAAAGCCCTACACTGCCAGGACTTCACAGCCCTGAACTGGCTGTTGTTTTTTCCCCATGGGAATCTGTGGCAACATACTAAATGTTCATGACAGTGTACTAAATACCACCCTTCACTGGAAAGCCTGCTCCTTGTCTTTTCACTGCTCCCCAGTCCTCTGGGGGGTTGCCATTAGGAGCTATTATACTGTGTTAACCAGAGAAGGGAAGGACAGGAGGAAGGTCTTCCCCTTCATTTCTTCATGGTGAGTTTGTTTACTTGCCCTATTTTATGTTTAAAAAAGGGCCTTTGAAATTCATACAAATGAGTACTTAGCTTTGCCACGAGAAAATGGTAAGGCAGCACTAGGTAATGGTATCCACCCACACCAAATAAAGGGAGACATTCAGGCTAGAGAGGACAATACTCTTCTTTCTACTCTTAGCCTAGCACAGACCTCAGTCTCATCACAAATCCTTTCCCTAGCACCTTCTCTGAAATTACACCACCCTGTGGTCATTTGACTTCAGGAACTTTCATCTTGTGCCCCTCTCTGAGCTTGGTTTGACCTCTGCTCTGTTAGTCCAAACTAACTAGGAGGAGAGTTAACACAGAAAGTAGAGACTTTGTGTTGGCAAGGGATAAAGATGTCCAAGACAGAAAACCAGCAGCAAGTTACCTTCTCTTTCTTTAATCATGTTTAGTACTACAGCTCTAAAGGAACTCTGAAGATGATTCTTCAAGGCATTGAAGAGAGAAGGTTCCTATGGAAACATCTGCAGAAAGTGAGATAACATACAAGATCTGGGATGACATGACATGTAAAAGACAGCAAAGAAAGCACAGAAGCTTAACAGTTGGGAGAAGGAATCAGCAGAAGGTCAGGGCTGCCCATCCCACAAGATCAAAAGTTCTAAGTGCAGTTCCATTCAAATGATAGGATTGGCCAAAAAACACATAGGTTTTGGGGCACTTTAAACAACAGATTTTGGTTCATACACATCTGTTCTTTAAACCTTTGTGATTAGGGTACCAAGTATGTCTAGCCTGCAGGTTAGAACTTAACTTTGCTTTTTAGGCAAAATTTGCATACTGCTTTTAATCAATAGTGGAAATAGATGAGGCTCCCATTTAAATGGAAGAAGGGTACAACACAGAAGATGCTGGAACAGGATTCAGGTGGCATCAGTGGGGAAGAAGCTAATATCCCTCGGTGTTAATAGGGAAAGAAGCTAACGTCCCTTCCCATATCCCAGTGAGAGAGTGTTCTGGTAAGGACTTGAGAAATACACCAAGCCTTCTGAAGGGGGTTAAAGCACCTAAAGCAGAAAACAGAAGCTGACAGAGTGGAAAGAGCATCTCATAAAGAAGAGTGAAGAAGGTAAGTGATAATGGCTTCAGCAGTGCTGTTTGAGAGGACTAAGGAAAAAATAGCTGATGCAAAAGCCACAAAGACACTATGTCACCTAAGAGGCCAGCAAGGCATGAATAGCATTAGCTGCAGAAAAAGAACATGGGAGACACAAACAGGACAGAAGGACTTGCAGCAGCCTGAACACATGGAGTAGAGTCCACCCAGATTCTTCATCAAAATCTTTATGTAGTACCCCTAAATTCCTGAGAATCTCTCTTCTCCATTACCATTTTAACTCTACCCTTTCTGAACTCATTTGCCAGAATGCCTTGGGTTTTAACTCCTATACATTAGTCTTGTGAAGCCGGACCTGCTTTCAATGGTTCCACAGTCACAGCCTGGGATAAGCTCTTCCTTGCCACGTAAGGACACAAAAACCTCAACAAGCCCTGCTCAGAAAACCTTCTCAACTGTGTCATTTACCCATAGCCATACCTTGTTGTCATGGTTTAGCCTCAGCCAGCAGCTAAGCACCATGCAGCCGCTCGCTCACTCCCCCTACCCCGATGGGATGGGGGAGAGAATCGGAGGAGTAAGAGTGAAAAACACTCCTGGGTTGAGAGAAGAACAGTTTAATAATTGAAATAAAGTAAGATAGTAGTAGTAATAATAACAATATAATAATGATGATAATAATAATAATATACAAAGCAAGTGATGCACAATGCAATTGCTCACCACCCACCAACTGATACCCAGCCAGTTCCCGAGCAGCGACCGCTGCTCCCCAGCCAACCCCCCCAGTTTCTATACTGAGCATGATGCCATATAGTATGGAATAGCCCTTTGGCCAGTTTGGGTCAGCTGTCCTGGCTGTGCCCTCTCCCAGCTTCTTGTGCACCTGGCAGAGCATGGGAAGCTGAAAAGTCCTTGACTAGCACAAGCAGTACTTAGCAACAACTAAAACATCAGTGTGTTATCAACATTATTCTCATGCTAAATCCAAAACACGGCACTGTGCCTGCTAATAGGAAGAAAACTAACTCTATCCCAGCCAAAACCAGGACACTTGTACATGAAGCTTCCTACTGTGAAACACTCCTCTGAACTTAATGCATTGAGTTCTTTGGAAAGGACCTTGTCTCTTTAGTTGACATCATCAATTGTCCTTCTCAGTCATGCAGTGATGTCTGGGTGAATGAGGTTGCACCAGCCACTATCAAAAATTTGCATAAAGAAAGAGGATGGGTAACAGACTCAAGGTGAAGCTCTGTGAGGCCATCTGTATTTTCCTCTTCTACAACATACTGTTATCTACAGAGTGTTAAAACACTAACCTGTATGCAATTAACAATTTAACTTGAAAAAGCAAAATCAGGGGCCTAGTTGTCTAAAGTTCTCTGCATAGAGGTGACGTGTACAGCATTCTCAACTCCACAATTGATAAATCATGAACAAGTCCTTAGAGTCACAGTGTCAGCTTTAAAACAATGATACAGAGTGTAATATTTGGTTCTTTTTATTTGCCAACTGCTACCAAGTGATTCCCTGCCTCCCCAGTGCCCAGCCATCAGGGCAAGGAGTTTACCTAAAGAAAAAAGTAAGAAGAGTAGTTTAGGCTTTCATGGAGTAGTAGCCAGAAATATTTAGTCTAGATCTCTGCCAACATCACAAAACCCCCTTATATTTTAACAGAACAAATGTGATTCTTCCTGAATGTCATTAACTTAAATTGGTTGTGGTAAAACAGAGTCACTCTGACAGCTTAGAAACTCATCAGGATTAAGTACTGAGGCAAGCAAAGCAGCTCTGAGCAGATGCTGCTTTGTACCAAAGGCTGGAAGGAACTGCCCAGGCTCTACACTGGAAACCCACAGCCTGTGTAGCCCTGTCTAATGAGCCTCCACTGCCATCATCTGGTACAACCCGCACCTGGTAGTACAACACACCAAATGTAGTTCCCAACCAGAATAACACATGTGCAAAAGAGCAGGGCAGAAAGATGTACCAAGTCACAGGAAGGTGACATCACCTCCCCCAGTGCAAAAAAAAAACAACCAACCCTCCCTCTGAGCTCTTGTTTGCAGGCTTATGTTCTGAAGTCAATGTATCTTCAATAATGACCAGAGAAATCAAAAGATGCTCCACCTGGGTGCACAAAAAAATTCTCGATCTAAAAATGTACTTGAAATTGAAGAGGCCTGACAGATTCAACTCAAATCAGGAAACCCATGAGGGTTTTTTTGATATTCAACAACCATCTCTCCACATACTCTTCTGCCATAGTTTTTATAATACTGGGTCACACAGTAAGAAAAAGACATCAGAGCAAGTTACTAATGGTTTTGGGGACTGGGGACATGCACTGACATTAATTGATAGCATCTGCCTTAAGTAACACTGTATCTAAATACATTTTTTTGTTTTCATTCTCTGCCCCCCACCACTCATTTCCATCATTCCTTCATGGCTTTTGTGCTGGTTTTGGCTGGAGTAGAGTTAATTTTCTTCATAGTAGCTAGTATGGGGCTATGTTTTGGATTTGTGCTGAAAACAGTGTTAATAATACAGGGATATTTTCATTACTGCTGAGCAGTGCTTACACAGTCAAGGCCTTCTCTGCTTCTCACCTCACCCCACCAGGGAGTAGGCAGGCTGGGGGTGCAGAAGAAGCTGGGAGGGGAAATGGCCAGGACAGCTGACCCCAACTGACCAAAGGGATATTCCATACCTTATGGCATCATGCTCAGCAGACAAAACTGGGGGAAGAATTACGAAGGGGGCGACATTCAGGGCAATGGCATTTTGTCTTCCCAAGTAACCATTACACATGACAGAGCCCTGCTTTCCTGGAGATGGCTGAACACCTGCCTGCCGATGGGAACTAGTGAATGAATTCCTTGCGCGCACAGCTTTTGCTTTACCTATTAAATTGTCTTTAGCATCTCAACCCACGAGTTCTCACTCTTATCCTTCCAATTCTTTCCCCCATCCCACCAGGGGGAGTGAGCAAGCAGCTGTGTGGTGCTTAGCTGCCAGCTGGGGTTAAGCCACAACAGCTTTGCATTACTCATTTGCTGAAACCTGACTCAACTGAATTGTTTCATTTATCCAGCTATTTGACTTTCACCTAAACAAGCTGGTCCTTACACAATACACGTAGCAATAAGAAAGAATAATTCATAGATATAGCCTCCGAAGATTCAACAGCCAATATTAAGAGTTTTTCAAAATCATTCCCTCTCCTTGTGACAGGAAAAGCTCATTTCGAAGCACAACTTACCTCAGACCTCTCAGAGAGCACCAGGCTTGGGAAAGTACAGGCAGTGCAGCACAATGAAAGTTAAGGCCCCAAAAGTGTGTAACTTAGTAGGGATATGCACAGAACTAATTATCCCTGTATCTAATTAGTTAGAAATCATTACTGTGCTGGCACTGACAAAGCATTTCTAGGGCTAGGTTCATGGGTCCTTACCTATTGCATGACACAGACAAACTAGACAAAGCCCCATAGGGCTGGAGCAGCATCTGATAGTACAGGTCCTCACTTCCACTCCTTTCCCACCTATGAGGCAGCCCTGTGAGCAGGGAACTCTTACCAATGGTTGTTATTGCAGAGATGGAGAAGAAGAAAGACCCACTGAAGTCCCACCTGCCCAGGCTAGTGGTGTTTCCCTGGAGGGTTATGCCACTCTTGTAGGCTTGGACGATACCCTGCAAAGAGACAATAACATGAGATCCCACAACCACCCTTATGGCAAGTTCATGTGACTGGCATTTCCAGTGCTGGCTGGTAAAGTCACAAACTACAACTACTTCCAACTGTTGTTTCCCTCTTAATAGAGGATATCTGGTGCCTTAGAGAGACCAAAGAGCTGGGAGGTCAGAAAAGCCAAAAGCCAGCATATTGGTTCTAAGGAAAGGGCATTTACAGAAAAAAAAATGAAAGTTGCACCTGCACATGGTAGATCATACAGGTAAATGTGGAAGAGATTGGAGGGCAAGAACTACCTAGAGAAAGCCTAGCCAGACAATTAAGACTGTCTTATGACATATTCATAAGGATAAGTGTTTCCAGATGGGATATTCTGACAGCAGAAGTCCCAGAGCAGCAAATATTACATGCACATGTAAATGATACAGATCCCTTGCCTATAGTGGGGGGGAATGTATATTGTGTGATGTAGGAGACAGACTACACAGGATGGCCAGTCTACTAGTATTGGGCAATATGTCCCCACATCAGGACTATAAATATGAATAAATGGATTAGATCAGCATGATGCCCAATTCTGTTCGGCCCACCTGGGAAAGACTCAGAAGTCACCATGATGAAACGTGCTGTTATGCCAAAATAAGATTATGAGATGTCTTAACAGTGCCCGCATCTGACTATACCTTCTCATGTCAATAAAGTTAATGACATTGAACTGAGTTGTGTCCAAAACATTAATCACAGCACTAAACACTAAACATTTCACACCCACTGACCAAGAATCCTTGAGAGTTGATTATCCTTGAATGCAAAGTGTAGCCAAGAATACATAAAATTCATCACCCCTGAGAAAGACATGCAGATACCAGATAACACTGTTCCTATCCTAACAATAAAGCTGCTGATAAAGCTTTCACCATTGATAATAAAAGGAATCACTCTCAGGTTAGATTTGCATCAGTTGCGAGTTTTACAAAGAAGTTGTAATTTCTACATCTATCAGGCAAACCAACACTTCAACCCTGCAAAGCAAGGAAGCTTTGACCCGTTTTACTGATGTAACATGCTGTTAATTTATACAGTACTATACAGGGCTGCAAATTAAAAACTGTTTCCAGAGACCCAAGCAGCAGCTTAACTACAATGACCAGTATCTCTCTGCTCCAAAGGTACTAGTTCTCATACTAAGAGCAAGGAGCAGCTCAGAGATCAACACATTTTTCCAAGTAAGAAACACCATTTGATAGTTGCATTCAGACATATCTTCATTTACTCAAGGCAATTTAAACCATTCAGGGTCACATGACAATCTATTAAAGTCTGACAACATGCTTTTCTCTGCACAAGACAGAGCAGGGAGCCCTTGCTCTGAAAAGGGCTAAGTACCAGATGCTGTACTACGTTATGCTTCCTTCTGTGAATTGTTGCCATAACTTGAGTGGGGCAAATCACAGAAAGAATTAGTATACAGCATAAGTGACATGAAAGAATTAAGTGCTCCCCCCCCG